TTTTTTAATAAAAATAAGACATAATAAATTCAAGTATTAAAACATAATCAATTTGAATTATAAGTATATAGAAATGAAAGTGAATTTTTAGTTAATTTAGTGTTTCGATACTTGAGAAAAAAGTAGCAAGTTTAATCGGAAATTCCCTTTATACTTCCACCTTTTCTTAGTTGTCTTGGCCTTTTTGGGTACATTTTAGTTGTCGATATTTAATCGTGTACTTATGTTCTGATGATGTTCTTCATATTGTGTAAATAGCAAATGAAAATTTTTTAATAAAATAAAACTATGTAAGAAGATCTATATTAAAACTTTTTTTAACGCTCATTTATATATTGTAAAAATTATTTCTTAAATACATGAATAAAATCAAATTAAGACAATTGAAAAATAAAGATAGTATTAACAAATAAAAAAAATATTTAGCAATTCATATCGTAAAACATTGACCCTTGGATAAAACAAGGATTGCCCTCTCTAACATTAAGAGCCCTTCTTCTTTAAGAGTTTCTATTTTACAATTTAAAATAATTTAGACTATAAAATAGTAGATTCATTAATTTTGACTAATTAAAAAAATTAATTTGATTTTTCCCAACAAAATACTTCACTAGTGCAGAAAATTGGACCCAACACGGCCCGGCAGGGAACTCAGTTTAGCCAACTGGACAGTCCACGGGCAAAGTCTTTTAACGGGGAATAGCCCATCGGGCTTTAGCCCATTACTAATAACCACCCGGGTCGGGGTCCCGTGGCCCATGGTTGTAACAAAAATGGTGCTTTCCAGAAACTCAGCAGTGCCGTTTGTTTAAACTTTGACGGAGCGCGTGGGATTAATTCTGGTTGCTGGTGGCAATCCATCCAGTACTCAGCGGGTCACGGGTGGATTTAATCCATATTATCAATGTCCAAAATGTATTATGAGAGTTAGAATTTATTTATAAAAAAATTATTATACAGTTTAAAATAATTTAAATTATATAATTAAAACACTAAATGATAGGTGGGTATTTGATATTAAATTTTTTTTATTTAAAATTTTATATTTTGTAATTTAAATTATATTAAATTATAAAATATAATTCTTTTTATTTATATATAATTCGATATTATAGATATATAAATATATGATAAAGGCAGTTCTTTCTTTTTTTATTTAAAAATGTACCATAATTCTATTAATTTAATATTAAATTAAAAAATTTTCTACACTAAAATTTTAGTACTTTAATTTATGATCAAGATTCAACGCATAAATATTTAAAGAGAATATGATAATTTATTATTTGAAAATTTTATTTTATAGTTTAAATTATATTAAATTATAAAATAAAAATTATTAAATTAGAAATATTCTAATATCAAAAGATTTAACTATCATCTAATAATTGATATA